CTGCGTGCAGAAGTTACATCTTACATCATCCACGGGATGAGATCGGGGTGATTGTTTCCTTTATGCCATCATCGCTCGTTGTAACCACTAATATGACTATGTAGCCATCCAAGAAGTACTCTACCAATTACCATTATAAGTTGTGCACTTGCGTATGTGTGTGCTTTGTTAGTGATAGGTATATTTTAACAGAAAGCTGGAAACGCTATATTTCATGTTTCATGACAGGTGTTTATGAATTTTATTTATATTCTAATAACCTAAAGGGTTATTATAATATAATTCACGGTTTTTTCTGTGTATCCAAAAGCTTACTAACGCAAAAAAAAATTATAATTTCTTAAAGCATTCTATTTTTTAATATATATATATATATATATATATATATATATATACATATATATATATATATATATATATATATATATATATATATATATATATATATATATATATATATATATATATATATATGTACCAGAGCCGTGGTAACTCAGATGGTTAGGGCTCGCTGTAAATTTCATACTTCACGAGCAAACAAGGTTCGATCCCAGCCGGCACCAATGAAATTGTTTATTGCAATTTTGAGTGCTAATTTACCACGTGCTCAGCGGTGAAGGAAAACATTGTGAGGAAACTTGCATATCTGAGAAATAAGAAAAAAAATTATTATAAAGACATGTGAACTTCGCCAACACGCATTGAGGCCGCGTAGCGTACAGTTCATTGCCCTCACCGAAAACCCTCTCAGAAATGAGCGGAGGCCTGTGCCCAGGAATGGGACCTATATGGACAGCCATCAAATTATAGATTTTTTCTACATTTTACAATTAACGCTAATTTTTTTTAAAAATTTAAATGACATAAAATGTAACATACATTTTACGTTCACAAGAGTTCAATCTCAAGTGGGTTTGTTTACTTGAACAGGGCGTGAATAGTACTTCAATTTCTGAAGATTTGTTCACATTTGAAGAAGTTGATAAGAAAGGCTTTTAAATCACTTTCCTGTTGTGAGACAGTGCTTGTTGTCTACGCGATTTCTAGACGTTGTTGCGTTTAACAAGGATTAAGTTAACACAGTAACGTAATGTAAGATTTCATAAAATAATTAAATTGGGGGTGTATATATAATTTATAAGCTCCTGTTTAATAATCTGTTAACCAATTGTAAAGGGATGGAACCTTTTTTTGTAAAAAAACATTTGCTGTTAGAGATAGGAAATTTATGTATTTTTATGCTTTAATAATTTAAAGCATAAAATAAAATATATAAAATAAAAATAAAATAATGTAATTTTGATACATGTAAAATATTTTATTTCCATTTCTTATTTGGTCCCTTTTGTATAGAATAACGTTGACAACTATAAATAGGCCGAATATGGATTTCTCCGAATACTGATATTCGCCTGAAAGTTCGGTAAAACTTTTACCAAACTGAATATTCGGCCTAACATTATTCGGCAGGATCACCTCGGTACCTAACCAATTTATGTCAAAACTTGTTACCGAAAGGGCGCGGCATTAGCGCGGTACCCTACTCCTCACTCATTATATAGTACTGAACAAATTATCGGCACATGCTTATGTTTTGAGTATTTTTGTGAGAAAAAGTATTTCGTTGTATTATTCGTAGTGAAAATTGATAATTATATGATAAAAATGAGTGGCAGAAGATCTACTATTTGAGCTTATTTTAGATAAACTGACGACCAAAGTAAAGTTAAATGTACTAATGTAATGTAATATTTCTTTATTTTATTCCAAAAACATTTTATCAAGCTTTCTATTTGCTATACTTGGAAATAAATCTACAGTACCATAAAACATAACGCTATACAAGTATATTTAACTCATAAATAAAATATACTTTCAATAGTAAAATTATGAAAAACATACCATTACTCAATTCGTACATTACAGTGGACAATTTAAGTACCACTTTAACAAATGTTCGGTGATTTAGCTGAATAAGAATATTGCAGCTGGCATCACATCTGCATTTTGATTCTTAATTGAAGATAAATGTAGATTTCTATGGGCTACAGTATCCACTTACCATCAGGTGGACTGTGTGCTCATTTGTCACCCTTATTATATAAAGAAAAAGATGATAATTGAAACTCTGTATAAAATATATCTATTTTCATGAAAGTGATACTTGCTCAGTAATAACTCGACTCGATAGCTCAGTGGTTGCGGCGCAGGCGCTTCGAATTCGAATCCCGCACAAAGCTTTGAATGGTCTTCAAATATTGATCCGCGTCAGGTGTTTAATCCAAGTGCAATTTATGTTTGATAAAGGTATGTTAATTTAGAAAATCAATAAAATAAACTTCAGATAACAAATGCAAACAAGAATTGTATATATAATGAATTTAGATTTTTAAAATCGCCCAGTCTGTCGCTATGCTCGGAAAGGGCATTTGTTATTGATATTATAAAATTTTAAAAAGCGAGATACGAATATGGATTATTGATAAAATGTGTCACCGATATCTTTCGATTCGGTGTAACATATGGCCAGTCTTACTACGAATTTGTTGGCGGGACGCCAGTTAGCAGAGTGGTTACACCCGGCAACACGTACTCCGTTCATGAATACTACATGCTACACGGGAGGATACTTTTCTTTTAGTGAATTTGCGGCGATTTCGGTCACCCCTTTTCAATTGTTAATGCTGAGGATTTCTTTCTTCGAACTTCTCATTTTATTTCTTCCGAGTCCCTCGTCTGTGGTGGCGCTCGTAAATAATTCCTTAAGTCTCCTTTGTTTTAGAAGCGAGGGAACACTTTTAAAGATGTGACGCTTTGATGGGAACGAAAATCTCTGTTCTTCGTAGTTAGCAAATCTTATTAACTACTAGAGTGTTTTATTTTAGTTACTTTCTAGAGCCCCGCTATAGCTAATAACATAATTTATCAATTTTATCTACCTTTTAAATGCATCATTTTTATCTACCTTGAACTAATTAATTGCAATATCACATCCTATGATTAAAATTTACTATATAAGGTCTAATTAAACAATTGCTGTATTATTATTTAAATTCAAACTTAAAAATGTATTTTTTAAATTTTTTATTGAAAGGAATCTCTGCATGCTGATTCCGGTAACGTGATAAAAATCTAAACAAGAATAAAATTAACACCGTCCGCAAAGTTTACTAGTTTATTAAGAGACCTCTTTAACGGATCACTAAAACTAGTTGTGACCAGTGCGCCGCCGTACAGTACAATCTAGAAGACGTTCCCCAGACAAAGCTCGCAGACAAATAACAGCTAAAATGTGGTATAAATGTACTTGTATTTTCAGTTTACAGACGAGTGACGACGAGATTGTGGGCGAAGCATTTGAAGCACGACTTTTCACAACCACTGTACAGTCACGCATGCGGGCTGTATTTTTTGAATGTTGTATTTGAGTGTTAAAAGATATGAATTTTACGATTTTTCCACAAACATAAAAAACCATTTAAGCTACTAAAATCACTCGCTTAATGGAGATTGTTTTTGCAAATTATTTGTATTAGCATTAAGCAATCTTTATAATCGATAAACTTAACACATGAAACGAGACTACTAAATGTATAAATTTATCACTTAAATGTTCATTTGAAATGATGTCTTGTTAATTTAAATTATTTCAGTAAATGTGACAACACAGTAGGAGATCAGATCCAAAGACAATTGGTGCTTACGCATTTTATTCTAAAGCAACAATTGTGTGGTTTTTTTACAATTGATGTTCTACTCGGTGTTGCCACACCTATTATAAATAAACTTACATGGCATGCTGGTCGCTGATTTGAATCACCACAATCATCGTTTCGCTTTTCAGATAGTTGCTATTTGAAAAAATAAATAAGAATTGGTTCTTTTTCTTTTAATAAAAGAAAAATCACTGACGCTTATTGTAAGTCTGAAAAAGTGAAGGGATGACTTCTGTCACTATCAATGGTAAAAAGCTTCCTAAAAACATCTTTCAATCGTTTTCTGCAGTTTTGAATTTTAGTGATATTTACCATTGGTTAGACAGTTAAAGCGTCCCCGATAAAACCTGAGCACTATTAAATAAAACTAAAAATAAAACTTTACACTTTTTGCTTTTTTCACACCATAAACTATTTAAAAGTAAATTTAAATTAACTAACCTGTCTTGTCACCAACTTACTTTTTATATTTCTAAAAATATGTACAAAAATTTAATTTTCTATTAGTGCATAATTTTTAACTTGAATAACTTTCTTTTCGTTTTCACTTTTATCACATGCTTAATTTATAAATAAACGGGAAATTCAATGAGCATACTTCTTCTCTCATCTTCTCCTGCAAAGTTAATTATTAAGATTAAGAAACAATTGCGTTGGAATTAGACTTATTTATTGATTGCAGAAAGCTTTCAGAGTTTTATTGTTGTTGAGTTTTATAGATTTTAGAGCAGATTTATTTAATTCATTTTGTTCTGTTCGTTAATTCTTTATCGAAATGGCCCTAGACTGAAAGATTTTTAAATGAAATTTAAACTAAGTAAATCTAATAAATAAAGTTCAATTAACAGATTCAATTCAGCAACAAACATAAATGCAATAAAGTTTCACGAAATAAATAATATGTTTTTTTAATATTTTTAAACAAAATTATACCAATGTGTAATATTAGGAAATTTTAATTTAATATACGTACTCGTATATTGAATATGGCTCTCCATTTTATTGTTTACTATTGAATAGGGCTCTCCATTTTACTGTTCGTTAGTAAGTAATGAATTAATAGTCAAATTATTAAGTACTAATGACTGTTTGAAATAATTTAATACTAATGTGGAGCAAAATGCTATAAGACCTTATAATGCCACTGGAAACGAAATTATGTTGTATTTTTACATTTTTTTATCAGATTTAACAAAATATGACATAATTTCGTTAGAATGAATACTATTGTATTCATTTTCCTTTGACCACGATCACAAATCTGACGGTACTTTATTGGTATAGTGCTGACGAGGGTTTTGACGGGACGTACCAGACGAACGTGGTGGTCAGAAACAACGGCAGTTGCCTGTATGTGCCTCCGGGCATTTTCAAGAGCACATGCAAGATAGACATCACTTGGTTCCCCTTCGACGATCAACATTGTGACATGAAGTTCGGTAGTTGGACCTACGATGGCAATCAGGTATAGCATCACGGTTAAATTCTACCGTTGATCTACAAAAGCCGAAAAAATCTACATTTCGAATCTTTATTAAGATTCTCTTTTTAAAAAAGAACTCTATGTAATCTATAAGAGATTACTATATTTAAGACAAATATAATTGTTTAGGTGTTCTAAAAGAATTTAGTATTGAAACATACTATTATATTTGTTACTATAATTTAAATATTTATAAAGGTAAAATAATTATGTTTCCAAACAATTATATTGCTACATATCATCAAAAATGTATACAGAATATACCATTTTCGCTAGGTATTTACTTAAAGAAATTATAAGCTTTTACATAATATATTTCTAAAGTAACAGATATATACTACATAAAGGGGAATGCCCACTCTTTATAGACACTTCGGCCATGGGTGCCCACATATAAAAGCATATAGATATGATAATATGCAATTAAAACAATGAAATGGTAAAGGAATTGCTTTAAAAAAAGTCGGGGTTTTGAAGATATATAAGTTTTTATTTTCACAAATGCAGTTTTTTTACAACTATTTTTATCGATTTTATCGCGTTTTATTTCTTTGATTTTTAATTCCAGACGTTTCGGGTGCTTTCCAGCACCCATGGTTACGGCGGACTGAGGTGACTGACGTCCCAATGTCAGTGTTAACCCGGAGAACCGTCAGCTTTTTAATTTTTATTTATGGTCCGATCTACAGAATGAACTTACTGTGCCTTGAAGTCTTGCAGTGGTATGCTTGGGTTTAATTTTATTAAAATAATAATATATAAAAATATTAAATTTCATTAATTACAGGGTCCTAAGCAGGTGGTAGTACCAAGCCTCCTTCTCTATTGAAAAAAAGAATTTTCTTATTTCAATAGTCTCACGTATCATCCTTGATAGGAATTGATGTTCCTTTTAGAGGATTTGCGGTCCATCAAATCTTTTTTTATATTTATCTGGTTGGGGCCGTCCAGGATATGATAACAAGCTGCAAACTTCCCTGAACTTTGATGCTTCACGTCAGCTCGTTTCAAGATGTAGCCAATCTTGTCTGGACACCCCTGACAAATGCTAGTACTGCACATGCTTGACTGTGGCTGGCTTCACTCGGTCACTGTGACGTAAGCGCGGGCCCGAAGCTTGTTGACGTGCAGAACCTGCCTGACGTGCTGAGGCTCGACGGCCAGATGTTTGCTGCCACAGATCCCTTGTGTTCTCTGTAACAAAGATTTGCTCACGGTAACTAACTGTGAAGGATGGTAGTGAGATTCATTGTTTTCTATACACAGTGTGACCTATGGTGTTGTTAGAATTTTGGATGACTAACGCATCTAGGAAATCTAAGAAATTATTTGCCTCTAATTTACACATCAATACATCATTTAGGAACTGAGCAGGAAGCAAAATATTAGTCTAATGCCGTGCCCAAGCCAAATACCATATTACTGTCATAACATGGGCACAGTATCCAACAGTTCGACGGTCGACAGTAATTTTTAATTGCACTTCTACCAGAACCATTCCCACTATTTAAAATATATGTAAAATACACTTTTGCGATTAATGGTGATGACTTGCAATTCTAGCCCTAAGTAAAGATCAGCTAGGGCTTAAGTTTATTCCTTCCATAATGCTGCTCCTCTGGTTATTACAGAGTTCTATCCGGTAGCAACCATTAAATCTTATATGCTCACCATAATAGTAGTGAGCTTGCTTTAATTGTTATGTGACGCAAGCAATTAATATTAAGTCGCTGTAAGTTAAAACAGAAAATTCCCTAACATTTTAAAGTCTACATTTATATTTCTAAAGTCTGCCTGCCCTAGCTCTATTTAGATTGCTTTCCCTAGCATACTCAGACAAATCATTATTTGTCTCTATATTTTGGTGAACTATTTCAAGTATTTGAGCCGCATCATCCCTGTCCCTTATTTTTGTGTGGAATTTATTAATTATAACAGCAGCCACATCAGTCTATCATCAAATGTGTAGAATTTAAAGTAATTTTGATGAAATATTTTAAATTATGTTTTAAAAATGCCATTCACCACCTCTACTACCCATATCGACACATAGTCACGGCTCTGGATTTATTAGCGTATCTTATCATTAACGCAGATTCACCATCTGCTGGAGACATTGCTGCGGCCCTTAGACATCCACATCTATCCACGATTACAAATCAAAATGCAGATGCGTTGTCACCCGTGAAGACTAAGATCATTTTCTCGTTTCCAGTAAAAAAGGTCTCCGGTTCTCTACACTCACCATACAAAACACAGCAGCATTAAGCTACTATTTCACGCTGGTATTCTGTGAGAGCGTGGTCCTTCCCCGGTCGAGCCGACCCATTCATGCTACAACTATACTTCTAATATAACTGCAGCATGGCTCTACCACGTATAACACACATACATAGTAATTAGAGACATACTCGCAATGCTGATAGAACAGTGAGTCCATTGGAATTGTTACAACCAGGTAAAAACATTGATTTGGTGTTAGTGGTGCTTTTAAATAATTAGTTAGCAGTACACTGTGTGTTGTATGATCTAAGCTTTGTTGTTCTGGGTGCAATACATTACTCACTTCAGATTGCAACGAGGACGGACTAGATGATTCAGATGGTTCCCGTTCTGTAGTTGAACGTGATGCTGTTCTATCAGTTCATTACCAGCAATTATGATACACACGGCATGACAACGGCAACTGAAATAATGTAAAATACAAAAAATGAAGTCAAAGTGAAAAAAATAAAAATAAAATAGATTTATTTTAAACTCAAATGTAAATAAAATATTTATCAAGTTAAATGTTACTGCACAAGGACGAAGTTAATGCCCTATATTATTTAATAATTAAGGCCTGACAGACTACCAGCAGTCCAAAAACAATGAAAAATCAACTGTCTCCTTATTTGGTAGTTGATAAAAATGGTCAATCTCATAAATAAGCTAGTATGTTTGTCAGATATAGCTTGTGCAGATGTGAAAAAATAAAAGAAGATCTTGAGTTGATATACAATCAGTGTAAAAACATGTATAATTATCAGATATGAGCATCATACTTAATAAATTGAAAAATGTTAAACACTTACCTCACGTCTCGCAAATTGTTCCTCACATGGAGAATCGAACCCAAACAATGTGTGTCATCTTATTCTCATAAGTGACTTGTCAGTGCCACAGTTTACATGTTCAAGACGAACTATTGGTGCATTTTGCGAGTGGCACACTACACGTTCACTGTACTCGAAACTTGTACCTAATAAAGAAGCTACAATTATTATATTGATATTATTCAAGTAAACTCAGTTATAAAGCATTTCTTAGAGGAAGACATGACACATCATATGTACCAACTATTTACCTGTTATGTTCGAACCAATAGTTGAGAGATCAACAATTGCATTTCCCAACAAAACAAAATGATACGATAACACGCAATTGAATTCTTGTGACATGACAGTGACAGAGGCCTAACTGTCAGATTCGATGTTGCCACTTAACTGTCATAAAATCTATGAAACGATATCGATTTTTGATTTTTATTCGATTAATAATATCATAAAAAGAATAATCCTCGACGCGTTTTAAGTTCTGCACGCTTTTTAAAATATAATTTCCTTTATTTATTGAAATTCTATTTCAAATGTATTTTTAAGAACAGTTAACTTGTGCTGTATTGTTTTGTTATGCTTTAGAGAATTCATGGTAAATCAGCTAGAAATTAACTTCTTGAATTATCATAACATGATTCCATTTTAAATGTAAACGTTAAGAACAGATAAGAATAACAGTTAAATTATGCAGTAGCGTTTTGTTATACTCTAAAGAATTCTTGGTAAATCAGCTAGTAATTCGCTTGTTTAATTATCATAACTATAAATGTGAAGGTTGTCAACGATTTCAACCGAACCTATAACAACGGTTGTTTTTATTTTTAACGGTTGACTACCGCTTTTGATGACTTAAAATGGATAAAAACCCATTCTGTGCAATAAGTTTTTTCTCCTTGGTAATAAATAAACCAGAGAAACCCCTATAATGTATAATAGTCCTTTTTTAGATACAAGTAGCACATTTTAAAGAACCGCAAAAACAACTTTGTCATTTATACAAACACTATGAAAAACAAAATAATTTGTTGCTGGCGATAATGATAGTGGTATTTTGACTCGATTTAAAATATATGCTTGTTACTACAGAACTCTTCATGGGTCTGCGAGTCCGACTCGCACTGAACCACTTTTTTTCAACTTTTAGTTTTATTTTAATGAATAGTTTTTCGTTTAAGCGGAGCTCTTTTACTTTAGATTTATTACCTCTTTATCTATAATAATCAATCTGAATAGGTAAAGTGTGTAAATACGATTTTTAAATTGTAAAAATAATAATTGGATTTGAACATCTTAGGTAGGTATTTCGTTTTATAATATTTAGTTAGAAATTTATAATTAATTATATATTTGTAACTAAATATTATTAGTTTAGAAAATATTAATCTCACAATTAATTACTGTAATTATATAATTTTATCACACAGCTAACGCCCTCATTAGCAATGTAATGGTGAAAGAATTTTCAAAATCGGTCTAGTAATTTTTGAGATTAGCCAAAAAACGTATTCATTGAAAGTAGCGCCCTCTATAATAAAATTCATCCTATATTAGATATCTAAAATTATACATAACAATCTAGTGGTGAAAGAATTCTCAAAGTTGGTCAAGTACTTTACGAGTTTAGCGAAAAAAAATATTCTTTGATAGTAGCGCTCTCTATAATAAAATGCATCCTACGTTTCTAAGCACCATAGCAAAAAAAGATTCAACATAGCCTAACCCGTACACACAGTAAAAACATAACAATCCTTTTTCGTCTGTAGTCTGATAAACAACTGGTTGATAACGGTTGCGTATCGGCTGCTTTGGATAAATATCCATTGTCAACGGTTATTTTAAACCCATATCATAACATCATAATAATTATCGAAAAATTATTTTAGCATTGTAATAATGACACCATAAGTAATCGATCGAAAAGGGGAATCGATTTTTTTAATGAGATTTGTGACTGGCAACACTTTATTTTATTAACAAACTAATGAACTAACGATTTACCTAATTTTATTCTTATCTTTTCAGTACTTTTCATTTGTGCAAAAATATTCCCATCTTTTTTAGGATAAATGAATACCGCGATTAATAACCATAAATAAAGATATATTTTTAAAAAATGCACATTATTGGGCGTTCCATGGCCGAAAATGGGCATCCCCCTTTACAAACACTAGGGAATAAGGGAACCATGTGAGAAACCAAAAGGATATAAACTATCCCAAAAGTTTTGTATGTACTATTTTGCATGGAGCGAATAATTTCTTCCTACTTTCCCACTATTGATCTAATACGGGGATTTACAGTATATTTACTGCCATACGGATACGCTCAAAAATCAAAATATATATATATATATATATATATATATATATATATATATATATATTCAAAATTTGTTTCTTTGTGACATTGTCCTGAAATTTACAAACAAATAGATTTTGAAGATTAGAAGATAAGCAATCATATTATATTTTTTAAAAAGCCTTCACGAAAACTTTTAAAATATTTTTGGTAACGAAAATAAAGCTGAAATTAATATATAATATGTTTGAGTTATACATATATAATATTCACTATTAATGCTATTTTTAATAATCTGATATTATATTAGCCTGGACGCCTTTTGAACCTTGCATCCGGTGAGAAATTGAACATTCTAAAACAATAAAGGAAAGTGCTAGTGATCACATAGTTAATTATTGTTTACTTATTCATTTCCTATATTTTTATTTCTTGGATACTCCCGTCTTTAAAAAAGATATCAAACTCAAGAAGTTTTCTATAGGGTGGGTGGTAAGTATTATTATCGTGTTATTTCAATTTAAAATACCGTAGTGGACAAGTGCTATTTAAACCAAAATCTGAGCATTGAGTGCGTTATTTAGACCGTTGATAATGTCTTAAACCATTCATAACTTTAGTTATTCAAACATTAATGTAACTATCGATAGAACTCACAGTAGGCGACCATTACTGCCAAGTGCGGTACAAGTATAAATTTCAAAGTTGCTCAGAGCTTGACTCGAATTTGTTATAAATCCATTGCATTTATGCAAATATTTATTAGGAAATTATATCTAAACGATTTGGTTTTGAAATGTTTAATTCTCCAACTGATTTAAAATGTGATTAGAATAAATACATAAGTTTTTCGTTGAGGCTTAAATCATTATTTTAAATTTAATTCAATATGAAATCTAATGATTTTATTTATTAAATACAGTCTTTAGATTTAATTCACTTTATTGAAATAAATTTAAGTATAATATTGGTCTAAATGTAAGTTATATTTAGTTTTATGGTTGAGAATGCTTTGCATGATTGTAGTCTTTTCTAATATTCTTTACTTCTAATATTCTTAAAAATCTATTCTTAATTCAAAGTATATGACAGTTATTCAATTTGAATAGCTCTTTTTTCATATTTTATTTATTGATCTTCTTCAGAATACTGTTATATTTGATAATTGTTTTATTAAGTATTGCAATGAACCATCTCGTTTGTTAATTTTAAGCTTTATTAAGGATACCCGAAATCTTGATCGCTACATGTTTTACACACTGCGATAAAATAAGTAATATTTACATTGTTAAAATTTGATTTGTACGCCGGAAGGCATAATTATTTCTCGATTTTGCATTTGATAGTGACCATAATAGAGTTTTTATTGCTTTCATCCATTACCCCTTTGAGCCAATTTATGGCGTATATATTACGCTTGTATTTGGCATTAATTGGTGTAGTGATATTATGCGTCTTTTTAAAAACACAGGCGTCCGTAGGTGGGATCTTCGTTAAATAGTCTCGTCTACCCAGAGCAACTCCACAGTTAGCCTCTTTATTTTGCATTTCCTTTAGGGGTTTACATAGTCAAGGTATATTTGTTAATTCCTATCGATCGATCAATATCGATTATTACTATGTCAACTAATGCTTAAGCGAGATCGCGTAAGCTTATTTTCAACCATACATAGTTAATTCTATTGGCTGTACCAAATAATAATACCACTACCAAAGCTACATCGATATGTGTCCCCACCTAATCTTCTTGGTGTGTTTCTGTCACATCTAAAAGAAAAAAGGCATCCAATATCAATACTGAGATCACTGAGAGGTTAAAACTATCGGTATGTTTATATATCATCACAAACTTTTCAAAAAAAAAAAGGCGAGCTTTTGCATGTAACACGTACATAATGTATTTTTAGCAATTTTAATTACTTCTTAATTTTTATTATTATATTAATTATATATAGCTATTTAAATATTGTATCACACTAGCGTAATTTCCGTATGGCAGTATCTCCTTGTTTTATTTTCTTGAGCATGTTTTAATATTTCTTATGATGCACATTTTAGTTCCTCACATATCCTTGCTGCTAGATCATTGGTTAGTTGTTACTAATAAATTTTGAGAGTTGCCTTATGAAAGCATGATTAGGCATCTCTAATATTGAAGCATGACATGTTAAATTTTATTATTTTTGCAGTCTATTTCCTCCAATGTATTACGCAGCAAAGTTATAAGTCAGTCAAGCGTGTTTAATATTTCTCTGAATTAAACATTCTTTTCTATAAGGTAACAGCTTCAAGCATGGCTTATAAAAGCAGATAAGAAATTTGAATTAATTATTCTTTTATTCACACTAATTTTTTATTTAATATGACAGTTGGACCTTGTGCTTAAAGATGAAGCTGGTGGTGATTTATCTGATTTCATAACAAATGGAGAATGGTATTTAATAGGTGAGTATATTGAAAATTACTTTCATCTATATCTATCACACTGACGGCTCCGTGGCGCAGTGGCTTAGTAATGATTTACAGCGTTAAGAGCCGCGGGTTCGAATCCCGCACGGAATAAGTATTTGTATGGCCTACAAGTAATTGTTCCGGGTCTGGATGTTTGTCCTTGTAAAATTTATGTTTGTAAACTGCCCCCACGATACAGGAGAAAATCCTAGTGTGGAGGTAACGTTTTTAGAAATAAAAAAGTTATTTGACTGTAATGATTTCTTATAATTTCGCGTAAAAAAAGATATGATAACTTTCGTAAAACAAATGTACGGATATGTTATCGTATCTTGTTTTTGACTCCTGATGTCTCGGTTGACAATAGTTGCTGCGTTGTATAGTAGTGGTATAAAAGAATCCCATATCATCCCGTGATCCCAGGAGATGGACAGCAGTGTTTCCACCTACCCACCTGTCAAGAGTGGTAACTATGCCAAATGTCACCTCCTTTCGAAAATCCATGTTCGGCAGTTTACAGATAGTGCAAAGCACTCGAAACGTTGAATATTAAGAATGCGTTTAAATTTGAGGCGTAAAATCCATAATTTTTTTTCAATTTGAATGTTTATTTCAGGGATGCCTGGAAAGAAGAATACGATAACATATGCATGTTGTCCGGAGCCCTACGTTGACGTTACATTCACAATCATGATCAGGAGGAGGACACTGTACTATTTTTTCAATTTGATAGTACCTTGTGTGCTGATTTCATCGATGGCACTTCTTGGTTTCACATTACCTCCAGATTCCGGAGAGAAACTTACACTTGGTCAGTCATATGTTCAATTTTATAGTATTAATAAAATGATAAATATTAATAAGTTTAGATTTTGAACCCACAGAATACAATTATTTATATGAAGAGAGATTTACTAACTCGGCTACGGCTTTCATTTTACATATCAGCGATTTCCTGTCTTTGTATGTAGAATCGGAGATATTGCTGCTTGAAGTCACTTTTAAATGTAAATTTGATTTAGAATTTCAAATGCCGTAACTAATGCTAGCATAAATAAAAGTGGTTTCTTTAATTTTGTAAATTTATACCAAAGTCTCTATAATAGTAAGTTTTGTCAAAATATATTTATACTTTTGTAGGCGTGTATTCACGATGGCCGTCGAGGTTTTTTTTATTTACGTTTCTTTTTGTTTTCATTTGTGCTGACAGGTGTAACGATTTTGTTATCGTTAACTGTTTTTCTCAACTTGGTGGCTGAAAAGATGCCTACAACTTCGGACGCCATTCCTTTAATAGGTATTTTAGAGACCAAAAACCATGCACGCTATTTCTTTAGATATTTACGGTGTCACAAGGATGCAATTTTAGACCTTTCTCATTTAGTGATTTATTCACTATTTATTTCATCATATTTGATGTATTTAAATAATTTTGGTGAGAATTTATTATTTTTAAAGGCAATTCTAAGCATCGTGCACAAAAAATAAGGATAAGGTTGTTTTAGTGTTTATATTCACCGTATGTTTATATTTTTAGTATATTTTTTCTACACTAGTGTATACAGTGTACACCCATTATCCGTCGCAGTAATTTTAATTGAAATGATGGTGATAAATAGTTTTAACATTTAGTCAATTGCATCAGAAAAATCAATCAAACCTAATAAACAAATACAGGGGCTTATGGAGAGTTGTGTAGGATCCTAAAACGCGTTAGCCCAGTAGTATCCATTTAATGCTTCGGGTTTTATTTTGCATGTGATAGGGTTAACAATATGTCTGATTTCAGGAGTCACTATACTACTCTCGCTGACGGTGTTCCTCAACTTGGTCGCCGAGACCCTGCCGCAGGTCTCCGATGCAATTCCCTTGTTAGGTACACTACCCACACCTGTCCATTATCGTTTGAACCAATCCCACCACCTCCTTTTTTCTGTTATAGTCGTGACTTCATTTTTTTGTCATTTTTAGAGATTATTTTTATTCTGTGAATTATTTTTTGTTGAAATATTAAAATGATTATTTTAAAACATTACAATTAGTAAAATCGAGTATATTAACCGCAGATTTAAAATTCATTCAAAATTTTTTTTGAACTCCCAAAAATAACACATACTACCTGACAATTGCAAATAAATCCTTTGATAATAAGTGTTTCACTACAATTACACTATTTATATCATCTTAGATATTGATGTTGATGAGAATCTTGGAATCGATATCGTTATTCTTGTATCTTATTGTAATTTAAAACAGTAAAAAATATACAGCTTCAGTCTAATTTACTGACATTGGCTTTCCATATGTTAAATTGTTTATAGCGTTTATTATTCTAATGGGTTCGAGACGTATTATATTTATAAGCATGGCATGTCATTTCAAGTTAAAAAATTCAACGATATTTTACCATAATTATGGGATCACACAGGTAAGTTCTTGATTTATAGCACTTTAAATATTTCGCAGTTATTTTCTTTTATTTCTTTGAAACACCATAGAATACGGCATCGATTCCATGGTGCGAAATATGTGTTATTTTTTATATTGGGTGTTAATGCTTTTTTAGGTATATTTCCACGCCTTGTTTATTATCGACTCTATTTCGCGGTGTCCTAGATACTTGGAGGGTGGGTGGTGTAAATTTGAATAACTTCTAAAACGTCTATCTATATAATTACACGTATTGAGGATAAAAGATAAAATTGTGTTTGCATGATTCTCTGTTATCTTATGTTTATGTTTTCTCTTGAGCCCCTGTTACCAACTCAGCACACAAACAGGAAATGACGTCTCTGTTCGAACATGCGCTATTATGAGGACGGAAATGTATAAAAGTAAAGGTTATGCAGTTTATTCGGACACTTTGTTTTTCATAGAATTTAACATTGATCTTTACAGGTGTAACAATTCTCCTGTCGCAAACAGTTTTCTCTCTATTGGTGGGGCACGTCATCACAAAGACCTCAGAGGCGATCCCCCTAATAGGTGAGAAACCCGCGTGTACTGGCAAAATGTCTAGAACTTATAAATACCTAAATAAATCTGATGTTGTGAGTTAGCTTGTTTTAAAGCAAAATTAATGAATAGGTCATGAGGGATATTATTTATGTTCGAAAGTAAAAAAGACAGTTTACAGATAAAAGCATAACTAAAAAATATTCCTCTAGCCATTCATGAAGTAACACATAAAAATATTTAAATAGAACGCAGTTTATGCTTGAATGATTCATACTCGAAGAAGAGCATAGATTTATTTTATCTATTTTTAAAATGCATTTTAAAAACTCCTGTCTCAGAGATTTCTATGCTTCGACAGCTCTTTTATAAGCTCTGTGACACATAAAAATAGACTTACTGCACTCAACGCGCTATTAAACGCTTCGAACTTTCTCCCTAAATTGTAAATGTTGTTCGAAACTATTATCTTGATTGGCATTTGAAACTGAATTTATTGTAATGTATTAAAATAATAATTATCCCATTTCCGCCTTCAACCAGCTTTCTGTCCCCTTTTTGTAATTACGAAAACTGAACACTTTTTAGTTTTCTTTCCATAATTTCCGAAATGCGATAAAATTTCGAGTTTTTAAAAATTTGTGACTACTGACGTCATACTTTTCTTCGCATGTTAAATAGGAAAACCTTAAATCGAATCTTAATAAAATAATAAAATCTAAAAGCACAACTCTCCTAATTTGATATCTGTTAATAAATTTGTTGCTATTTAAAACTGGTTTTGCTTGTAGTTGACTAAAAAGATTGTGTTAAAGTTAAACAGCAATTAAACCATCAAAGTGGATGCGGGTAAAGAGGGTCCAGTCTCCAAGTATCTCGCGACCATCGAATGTAGCTACTTTGCCTGGTCTGTCTATAACACTACAATAATTTAGCATGAAGTTTGTTTCAACGTTGCCAAGGGAACTAGATCTTTTTCAGACAGTAAATTTATGGGAGTTTTGATAATAAGGACTTTCCCTTGTCAGTGTTGTAACTGCCTCTTATAACATTATTTTAGTAATGCCACATTCATGTTTTGTATACATATTATATTGCAAACTTAAGTAACGCAATCTGGATTAAATGGTATATTAAAAGTTATAAGGGGTTATTTATACTCGATAAATGTTTTATTTAATTTGGCGTATTTTATAAAATAGCATGTGTTAAAGTGGCATCTTAATCACTCATTTCAAAAGGTCCTTAATAAATGTCAAATAAAACTTAACGCATGATAGAACTTCAAATATATTTGACGTGTTTGTTATTGAAATTATTGAAATTAATTTTATTACTTATTTTACATAATTGAATTATATTTATTCACTAATAAATATGTCAAATGTTCAAACAAATGTCCGTTTTTCAATTCACTTAATGTGATGTCATTAAAATGCATGAATAAACGCTTTTGATGTTAAAATGTGATATAATTAAATTAGTACAATAAAAATAGTATTTAAAACAAAAATATCTTTATTTTCATGTATACACCTAATTTTTTTTAAAAACTTTTTTGTATTTTTTAATAATTGGTTTTGATCGCGCAAGCATAATGGGTGCGTTTGACAGAAAAAAAGCGCTAGCAAGCGCTTGTAAGCAAAATTGCGAAACTAAACAGTTTTCAGCCAGGACATGTTTGCTAACTTTAGTAGCGCTGACACAATCCGCCATTTTGCTTATTTATTTGTTTGGTTTGAAGTAGAGTTTATAAGTTGTTTTGTGCAATATTAGTTTTAAGTAATATAATGACATGAATAGACATATACATGTTATTAAAAATTCATGATTGGTAAGTTTTTAATATGAATACTTTACAAACATATATTTCAATTAGGTTAGGTTTCCCGGTTTAAACTAACTTCGTGTCCTAGAGGAAAATAGCTACTTACGATTTGACAGCGCTTACCGCTTACGATCGCCAATTTGCTTACAAGCGCTTGCTAGCGCCTTTTTCTGCCAAACGCACCCAATGTTTTGTGTAATAAAATTAATTGAACAGATTTGTTTTGAATAATTACAAAATTTATGTACATATGTGTATAGCAAAGTGTTCTGGGTGACAGGGACTTACTTCAACTGCATCATGTTCATGGTGGCGTCATCCGTGGTGCTGACCGTCGTCGTACTGAACTATCATCATAGAACGGCAGACATACATGAGATGCCACAATGGGTAAGAGGAATTGTATGTAGATGTATTTTTATTGCAATCTTACTTGGCGTTCACAATATGCATATCCAATAAAATATTAGGACTTAATATTAATAAGTTTGTAGGAAACTTACTGTTTCACTCAAAGGCTAAGTATATGCGAGCCGATTTGTAATAGGTGAGGAAACGCAGTCAGCAAAAGAACCGCAGGGATAGATATTAGTTACCAAAATTATCATACGGGGAGACTATATGATAATTCTAATAATTAGTTTAAGTATATTTTATAATAATAATAATAATAATAAAAATTGTTAATAAACATCTCGAAATAGCATCATATGGTTAATTGTTAAAAATAATAATAGTGTGTTCATAATAATACTGACGTTCTAATTGTCAACGAATTATTGGCAATAAACAGCGTACTGCACTATATTAGTTATAGAGCAATTATAATTCGACCATACCGTAATATGTCCCCGTCATAATCATACAGTAGTGTAACATGAGAGACGTAATTACATGATAACACCAAAGTGTGCAAACCAACAGCAACACTATACATACAGAATCTCATTGTAACACAGAGCAGCCTCTCAGCAACATCATCTTCCTTGCCTGCACTAGAACGAACTGAACCACGATACTGTCATTCTACGAGTCTTAGCACACGTCGGATTACTTAGAAGCACTTTATACTGCACAAATAAGGGGTTCGATATACCCCCAATTACACACGCCGCCATCGATATGACACGTCGCTAGAGTATTGTAACCACTCGCTCACTCTCGATCCATCCGATAATGTATAAACATGCCGATAAACAAATAAATTATTATATTCGTGTGTATAGTGTTTAGCTCCTATCTCAGAATTAATAGAAAACTTAGGTATAGTTATAGCAATGGGACGTTAATATTAATATTATTTAGAGAGCATTTGAGAACAAACCTTTTTATAACTTGTTAAAATTGTCCTACAGATAAAAACTGTGTTTCTGCAATGGCTACCATGGATCTTGCGAATGTCAAGACCGGGGAAGAAGATAACGAGGAAAACAATAATGATGACGAACAGAATGAGGGAACTGGAACTAAAGGAGCGTTCTTCAAAGTCATTGTTGGCGAACGTTTTGGACATAGATGATGACTTTAGACATGCGCCGCCGCCGCCTAACAGCACTGCCTCGACGGGAAATCTGGGGCCGGGGTATGAGGGGCAAGTCTTACTTTTTATATTTTAACTAAATAATGTATCATTATGCCGTGTAAGAACATACACTACCCTATATCGTACAGTGGGTGTCATAAGTGGCGACAGAGAGAAACTGAAACAGGGATGGGCAGCAGCATCTTCATAATAACGACTTAAAATTATAAAAAAACCGCGGTTGCTAACCCGCCTGTCAAATGTGACCAATATGGCAAAATCTTCCCTTTGAGGCAATCTGTGGAGGGACCTATGTTTGACAGTGGACATAGCTGGTGATGGTGGATATAGCTCGTAAAGTAAGGAATAAAGTTACCGCCATTAAACGTCCAACTTTTTTTAAGACTTTTTGGAGCAAGATACAGGCCTCTAAGATTTTTTTAGGTCAAGGAAATGTCCGCCGTTCCGCCCCAATTCATGTTCTCGGACTTCACATGTGTTCCAATTATTTTTTATTTCTCAAAAATGCACGTTTTGCTCACGATATTTTTCGCTACTGCCGAGTTCGTGGTAAATCAGTACCTTAAATTACAATTAACAATTTTATTGGTGCCGGCGTGGATCGAACCCGTGCTGTCCGGGTATTGTGAAATTTACAGCATAGCCCACAATTGTCTATTGCTGCATTCATTATATATATATATATATATATATAATATATATATATATATATCTGATTTTATTATCTGAACAGTTATCACAAATGGCATTGCAATTAAACAACGGTTAATAAAGTATACAAATGTAGTGATAAAACTAAAACAAATTTTTAATAGCACGTCTTTAGCATAATTAAATTAAACAGTTAATTGTATTAAAATTTTAAAGTAAAATTTTATCGTCAAAGCCTTTATATACCCTACTGCTGAGCACATGCCTCTCATTTCAAACAGTTTTTAAAATTGAGTATTTGAAGGATTTAAAAGTGAGGTATGATCAAAATTATTTCTCAGTCGTGATTAAAATATATGGCGGTACCCAAATAATTCCAGATATTTTGTTAGACTTATGTACATGTATTAACACAAGAGTTGTAATAAAAGAGATATCAAATAACTATTCCACAGTAAACAAGCTGAAATCAAAGTTATAACCAAGTTATAATTCATACTGTAAAAGGCTTTGTTTGTCCAGGTGTTCGATATTCCGCTCTGACTTTCGCCGGTCGTTCGTTCGCCCCTCAACAATGGAGGACGTGGGGGCAGGGCTCGGCAGCCACCATCGTGAACTCCATCTTATACTGAGAGAGTTGCAGTTCATTACTGCGAGGATGAAGAAAGCTGACGAAGAGGCTGAACTCATTAGCGATTGGAAATTCGCTGCGATGGTTGTTGACAGGTGAGTGTCTAAGTATAATTGAGAATCAAATTGAAAAATGACGCTGTATAGCTATTGAGTACTTATTATACTACCGCACGAGGACGGAGCGCGGACTGTATGCACTACCGCTCGGGAGCGGTGCGCAAACGGAACTGCATTTACTGTATTGAGGTGAAGCACACTTATAGTCCACGTGACGGTAAATGGCTACTGAAGTTTATGGACATCTGCCACCAGCTTTAAACGAGATGACTGTGTTGTCATCTCGAAAGACTAAGGTAGAATGATGAAAATGCGTAGTAGAGCCATGCAGCTATATTATGGTTGTAGCACAAATAGTAAAATAGCAGCTCAATGTTGCTTCCTGTGTTTTGTATGTTGAGTGTAGAGTAACCGGAAACCATTTTAACTGAAAACGGGGCGTTCCATTTTAGTCCTCAGGGGTGACAACGCATATACGTAATATTTTCATTCGTAATCAATAATGGTATAGTCTACAACATGTAGGTGTCTATTGACGACAGCATCTATTTACCATTAGGTGGTCTGTGTGTTCGTTTGTCACTCTTATAAAAAAATTGGCACGCTTAGCAGGCGGGCTGGCTAAAGCAGTTTTTTATATTTTGAAATTTAACATCCCCTCTATATCCTCTAGATTTTCTTTTAGGCTTTTACTTATTTGCCGCTAAGCTAAGATATGTGGTAAAGCGACGCTGCAGCTATTATTGTTGTAGCACGAATGGGTCGGCTCGTACGAGGCAGGACCATGCTCTACGGTTACACTCTTCAATTTATATAAAATTGAAGTAGCTGTAATATCGTAGGTAACTGATTTTTATTGAGCTGAGGGGGTTATTTGCAAGCAATTAAGATATGATTAATAATTTTTAAAAGATGTTTTTTTAAAAATTTAAAAAAAAAAATCAGAGAATCTTCAGAATGGTATTAAAACTTGAAGAACAGATAGACGGCAAGACCTTTATGCGAAAATATAGAGGTTTTTTTGAGAAATCGACAAATTGATATAATAAATGGTGTTTGATTATCTTGCCGTGTAGTGGCGGTTAAAAATAACCATCATCCTTTATCTTCCCGAGGATGTCGTAAGAGGTGACAGAGGGAAACAGGTAGGAGATGGGCAGTAGCATTTTTCTGATAACAGCAATAGGACGATAAAAAAAGCCCCCCGCCAATCGTTGCGACTATAGCAAAAATTCTCCCATAATGAAAGTTACAAAAAGACAGCCCTCAGTCCCCGGCGGCCCCGTTTTTTCTGGCTACTGTGGTGAGCATGTTATCGGTGGGGCAATGGTTGCTAAGAATTTCAGTTGCCACCTAAGACGACTCGACCTGACAATATACAACGCAACAACCCTGAGGACTGACGAGAGGATCCTGGAGCTAGAAGAAGAGATAGACAAGTTACACTGAGATATTATAGGATTATCTGATGTCAAAAGAGACGGTATCACGGTATCACCGGAAAGATGACTATTTGTCCCAAGGAGGTGACGGACTCATCGTTCAAAAGTCTCTCGTTATCAACGTTATAAAGATTGTGAGTGTGTCGATGAGGGTTCCGTACCGTATACTAAAATCACCAAACGGTATTCGTTAAAGCTCATACAAGTTTACGCACCAACCTCGATACATCCCAATGAAGAGGTTGAGGAAATATATTAGGATATCTTTAAAGCCATACATTCCTCCAAAACTCACTATACGTTGTTAAAGGAAGACTTCTACGCAAAACTAGGCGCAAGAGAGAATGGTGATCTGAAGGCAGGGAAATTCGGAATAGGGCAACGGAACCCAAGTGGCCACCAGCTGGCTGACTTTATGAAGGAAAAGGGACTCTTTATAATGAACTTTTTCTTCCAAAGCGGCCCCACAGAAAGTGGACCTGGAAGAGCCCAGACGGTTTGATAAAAAGGAGATTGACTCATTATGATGACTAGACGGCAACTGTTCAGTGATGGTTAGAGGCACACTGAATCTAAACGTTAAGTTGTATAGGTCTTCTCTAATGAAGTCAACACTCCGTCTCCTTGCTCTAATCTAAAGTCCCGAAAACTTTCAGCTCGAGTTACAAATCCATTTTCAGTGCCTGGTAGACTGCAATACAGTGCACGATATAAATGACAAGCTGCAGAAGAACACAAAAACTCTCCAATCACTGAAGTTGCAGTCTTCAGTATATTTGACCGCATATAGGCAATTGAACAGACAGATCTCCAAATGCATGTGGAGGGACTTACGAAACTTCTATACAGCACGTATTGAAGAAACGATAGAGCGGAACTAGGGTTCCAAAGTCTTTGCCAGAGAGATCTGTATACCAGAAAGGGCCAACTGACGAAGCTGAAGACCGAGTGTGGCACCATAGTTTCCAGTATCCCTGAGATTGAGAGGTTCTATGGAAAGCTGTACACGTCATCATTGAAGATACACGTAAGTATGAGTAACGATCCAAGAGCAAGACTTATCCGACACTATTCCGATAATATCCCGGACGTCAGTCTGAGGAAGATTAGAATAGCTCTCCAGCACCATAAAAACGGCAAGGCCCCAGGCGAGGGTGAAAGCGGTTGAAAAAACGGTACTTGAAGTCTTTCAGAAACTCTTTAATTCCGTCCTCCGTGGTGAGACTATTCCGGAAGCGTGGAGAAGAAGTGCGGTGATCTTATTTTTCGAGAAAGGCGACAACGCTCTCTTGAAGAACAACAGACCAATTTCAGCCACGTCTACATGCTGTTTTAGAGGGTCATTACGAATCATCTTGCACGCAGATTCTAGACTGTTTTTCAGCCTCCCGAACAAGCCGGTATCCGAAAAGGCTTTAGTACCGCATATATACACTTTGGTAAATCGTACAGAAGACCAAATAGCTTTGATTTGCGTATATGGACTATGAAAAAGCCTTTGATTCCGTCGAAATTTGGGCGGTGCTGCCAGTCTCTTCAGCGGTAACAAGTTGACTGTATACCGAATATTGAAGTGCTGAAGTGTTTATAAAGTAGGGCTACGATGGTTATCCTAGTACAGAACCAGAGTACGAAACCTATCTAACTGTAGAGGGGTTAAGATAGGGTGACGTTATATTCCCGAAAATCTTTACCGCTGCATTGGAAGACTTTTTCAGGCTACTGGACTGTAAATGATACAGTATAAGCATCGATGGCGAGTACATCACTCACCTTCAATTTGCTGATAATATAGTCCTTATGGCAGAATCGCTCGAAAACCAAAACATTATCCTTAAAGACTCAATAGTGTCTCTGAACGGGTAAGTCTTAAGATGAACACGGAAAAAAAGATCATGTGTAACGTCAATGTCACAGCTATGTCGGTAGTTGTTGGGAGCACTAAGCTGAAAGTTGTTGCCGAGTACGTTTACCTGGGTCAAATAATCCAACTAGGTAAATTCAACTTCTACTGCGAGGTCAATCGACGGATTCAATTCGGCTAGAATTACGACACATCTGCTTGTCAGATATAATAAAAACGAGATTGTACCACGAGTACATGTTGCCAGTGATGACTTATGGATCTGAGATGTGGTCGTTGACTGCTGGCCGTATGAGGACCTTCAGTGAGCTATAGATAGGGCTATGCTCGGAGTTTTCCTGCGTAATAAACTTAGAAATGAGGATATCCGCTGTGATCCGAGTGACCGACATAGCGCAACAGATTAATAAGCTGAAGTGACAATGAGCCGGCCGTATCAAAGAACCGACAAACGATGAGGAAAAAAGGTTCTCGAGTGGCAGCCTCCTACCAGCCCGGTAAAACACGCAAGAAGTCAATGGATGCAGGTAGCTCAGGTCCGTGCTTTGTGGCATTCCTTTGGGAAGGCCTATGTTCACCAATGGACTTGTCAAGGGCTGTAATGATAATGATTATGATGAATATCTTAAGTCTCAATAAGGCAACATCAGTAGATCCTACCCTAGCGAATTCGTGGCGAGTTTTTGAATAAGATTAACTTAAAGCTTGTTTTTTTATTGAAGATTTTTTATTATTTAATTTATTAACGAAAGACACTCGTTAAAAACAATTAGTTTTAAATGATCTTATGTATTTATTTATATGGTAATTAATTAAAACAAATTTAATTAAGTTTTAAAACAAAGGGTAACGAGTGCGCTTTTTTAATAAATTAATAGCGTGTAAAGCAAACGCATTAATTTAATATTCTGCGTAGGTTCGAGATCGGATATTTCTGTACAAATCAAATGGGAGCCGATTGATAATTGAAATGAGACCGAATATTTCCAGCGCCTACACTTGCGATCTGTACCATATCATTTATTAATTAAATCCCGAATTCAATCCCTGCCGGCACCAATGAAATTGTTTATTGCAATTTTAGTGCTGATTTACTTTCCTCTTTATCTTTGACTACTAAGTTACGTCACGTCATAGTACCATAAACTAATTATAATTTATTAGAGCCAAAATCTGTTGACAGTGAATTCGACGCAAACTTATTTCAATTAGCGTTTTCTCAGGCAGCTCGGTAACATGCACGATACCATGACAATTGAGCTGTCAACCACTGTTAACATGGGATATGTTGTCGACACGAAACAAGTTTCCAGCCGTTAGCGACATTTGCTTGAAATAGTACGAGTAGTGAATCGCTGTCAAGTGAAATTTAACATATTAAAACTACTACAACACTAAGATCATCACAGCTCATAATCAAATTTGTCATAAAATAAAGTATATTTTTTAATTTTTTAAACAAATTTTATTAATATAATCATCTATTGATTTATTATATCAGGTACTGAATGTTCGTTTCAGAAATAGATCTTTTCATTTACTCATTCATTATAGTGTTGCGCGCCTAAGTTGACGTCTGTCACTAGTGCCGTCTAGTGTCGGGTAACAGAGCGAGGGGAGCTTTCCAGAAAATGACATGACTAGTCTTTCAACCATAAGCGCCATCTAGTATCGAATTGAAGAACTAAGCTTTCTAGAAGCCCTACACTCGAACTTTCGGCGACTGGTCGGTTGGCGCGCGTATTTACTTAAATATTCTGGATGTTTCGGTGAAAAAGGTGTATTTATAGGCGCTGCAATACGCGATCGGGGCAGTATTGAATTTGGCGAGACAAGCGAAGATTCGGAGCGGAATAAAGTGAATCAGTGTGATTAATTATTAGTGTCTTTTAAGTTTTAATTAGTGTAAAGTGAATTAAAGTGTTAATTTTGGTAATTCAATCGGCAGTTTTTATTGTCACGAACCCTAAGCTCGTAACAATAGCATAAAAAGTCGGTTGCTGAACATGAATCTCCCCTTAATAATCCCATGAGCCTCTCAAGGGATGTTTACTGTTACAAGCTTGGGGTTCGTGACTTGATGGCCCTGGTTCTGCTATTTTATACTAGATGACGCTAGTGGTAACTCGCCATGTCCAGGCATTAATTATGGCTCGCAACATTACCAACCGTTCAGATATCGGCAGATTATTATTTTCTAGTTGTTATTAGGAAGACGCTGCTGCCTATTTTTTGCTTTCTTTTCTAATGTCGCCTCTAATGCCACTCACGTGACGATAAGACATAGTGGATATGCTTACACCGACACTACACTACACTACAGGTATACAATTAATTTATTCATTTAGACTGTGTTAACTTTCTTTAATCTTTGATCACGAATTGATTAACTATGTTGGCCAAGCTTTGTAGATGGATAAGTATAGCAAACTAGAGCTCTTATAATTTTTAATGCCCTACTAGCACAAGATGGTAATTGGACTTTTTTTGCATTGTCTATACTCGCCTTTTACGAAATATATAGAATAAATGGGCTGATCGATTCTGCTGCACTGCCATTATATGACTTAATTGGATTTAACATTACTTACTCTTAAACATTTATTTTACTCTACAGGTTTTGCCTGTTTGTTTTCACCCTGTTCACAATCATCGCTACGGTGGCCGTGCTACTCTCAGCGCCTCATATTATCGTGCAGTGAAGCTGAGCGTCCACAGACACATACGAGAGAACTAACTTTATTGTAATTATAATTATATATTGTACTATAATCTAATAACGTGGTTCAAACGCACACGTCTTCATTAACTATGTCGAAAGACAGTAAATATAATTAAAATATAATGAATTACATACCCTAGTTAAGCCCAACATAATTATTGAAGAAAAACGATTGTGATGTTGACTAGGATGTTATACAGAAGAATGTTGACGAGTAGAATTTGTTAAAAGATGATAATTATATTAAAAATTAATTCAATTAAATATGTAATAAACACAGTTCCGTCAATGAGGACAGAAAACACGATTGACTTCACGTAGAATACGTTTATTTAGACATTTTAAAAGAAAATAAACCAATTCATTATTATTTATTTAAATACTTAACCACATGTATTTACTTTTAGAAGAAAAAAGAATTGTTATTGGTTCAGAATTTGGGGATGTTGACACAAGTAGATAAATTAAAAGTAAAAGTATCCTTAATACAAGTAATTGTGGGATCACTGACGATGAAGTTACCTTAGGGTATTATTAAGATGTACATAGCGTTAATTATCAGTCGTTGCTTAGTCAATTTTGGTAACATATTTTCTTTCGTTATAAAAATTTGGTCTCATTTAAAGTTATCCCGAATGTTAATTTGTTTAAATAAAAATTTAATTTTTAGCGAATAAATATTAAAACTTATTACTAATTCAAACCTGGAATTGTTTATATTTGTGGAATTGATTCAAAGTCAAAAACTTAAAGGAACCAAAATTAAAATAGACTAATAAATATAGAAAAACAACAAATAAAATCTATATGGCACCATTAACAAGAAGACAAATGAATCATACTCGTAAGGTATGGTTATAGCGCAAATCAACTGATATTTTATTTACGATAATATGTTAGACAAATTAATGATGTATGATGTAATCTGTATTTAGGTTGAAGGCAATCGTTTGTTATATCATAACCATATTACGAAAAGATCATATTATATAAGTAAATATCATTAAAAGTTAATTCCCTTTTATTTTATATTGCTACTATAAGCCACTACTTTATAATTAATCCCGCAAAGCGTTTCCTCTGTCACTTAAAATAGTATAATATATTAAGAATGTAATATCATGGAGTAAATAAGCGTAATATTTTTTTTAATGACAAGGCTTTTTCATTGTGTATTCTATGTACATTTTAAAGCAGAAACGACACCAGCGCTCTAAATTGACCAAGTTTTTAGAGAATCCTTTGCAAAATATTACTAAGTCAGTCAATCAGTAATTAAAGTCCCAAAACACTTTAAAATTTAATAAAATATTATAGCTTCAAACTTCAATATCGACGTGACACTATGAATAAATTTCGCGTAGATCTACTCTTTAGCTAGTATCGTAGTTATGCTATATCATAATATAGTATTGTTCAAAATTAACACTTTTCACATCTTTATCTATGTCCGTTCCTCAACTTCGTTCTTATAGGTGTCGTGTTAGCCTAGGTAATTGTCGTGTCCCTAATTTATATTAGACTATGAAAATAAATTAACACTAGTATAAGGGATAAGGAAGCTCACTAATACTAGTAACTAAAATAGGGTTATTACATCTCAATGTGTTCTTTCGAATTCGAATTGTATTTAGGTTGTCAATCGACGTGATGTCGAGATTTATTTGAATTTGACTAGACGCTCGTAATAGTGTTCATTTTGTCGATACGTTAATATAAGTGGAGTTAAACGAAATACATTATTTTGAAATTGTTGCTTGTTATTTATTGAGAACTAGATTTATAGACGCTTGTTTATGAGTGTGGGTTATGGCACCAAATAGTTTTTTTTTTCACACTAATACGTGTTTCATTTAACAGCTTAATGCTTGATTTATTTTTTCTATTATTGATAAACATATTCTGTGAATAATAATATTATGGTTATTTATGATTGTTTACATACATCAAAATACTCCATGTTGTTGTTTGTATTTTACTTTCTTTTATCTTGATATTTATAATAATTGTTACTATGATGTAAAGACCCTTTAAAAGATTATTATAATGATAATAATTATTAAGTTAACTTTTGAAGTGATTAAGAAAGAAATTTGTAAAATTACTTGAAAGTTTAAATTAGATTTGTTAGTGCCAAAAATAGGGTTTATGAATCGTTTAACATGGACTTTAGGGATTTAAATAGAGGATAAAGTTAAGAATTTTATTGTAAAATAATAAAAAACGAACTAGACTCTTTATTAATAACAAACATTGATGAAGCATTGTACCGTAACTATGGGATATTCAGCCAATTTTTATCTTATTTTATTAAAGGAAGAATATATAAACGAGAGGTTGTGAAACAATTTAGGGGCCCGCGGGTTGCGGTGCAATGTTTGTTAAATTATTAAAAATAAAGACGAGTAGAAACAGTCTACGTTAAAATGAAACAATTTAACTAAATGCCTGCCTGGGACCGGGTTAGAATAAAATTTACAAAATAACTGAATCATCTTTAATTTAATTGCAGTGCAGTTATTTCATTCTAGCGAGCTATTTACGCTTTGTGTCGGGGGGACAAAAACGTGACAACTGTAAAAAGTGTTTAGAAAAATACAATATGCTTTAATAGCAAATTGTTAAAAAATGTTAAAAAAATATTTTTAATTTATAACTGTCATGTAATGATAGGATTGTTGTTAACAGAGGTAGAAGAAGACGGAGTTTATTTTATCACATTATTTAAAAAGAAAGCAGTTACCTGTGGGTATGGTATTTCATATTACATTTTAATAACAAATATATATCTATAATATTATATAGTTAGCACTGTTGTCGCGTTTTTGTACTCCTTTTATTTTTTTGTTACTGTTTATTTTTAATGTTTACTTAATTTTAAAATAAAATAAATTAAAGAAATAAATTTAAAGTTATTTTTAAGAAGCACAGAATTTTTTTCACTAAATACAAAGGTTTTTTTTAATTTTATTTTAAGATACAGTCAATTTTGCAAGATTTTTTTTTAATTTAAGCCATTATAAATTAAATTTCATCAAAAAGTGTTTGTATGGTATTGTGACGGTCCAAAACTAACTAACTTAAAGCAATAGCTTAAAATGAAACATTTTTTATGTATAACAGACATGTCATAGCAATTAAAATATTAAAAAAACATATTTTAATTAAAATTTTATAATAAATCTCGTAAGAACGTATAAACGTTCTTGAATTCTAGTATATTTATTACTATTTCTTCGAGAATCAATATAATCATTTTCTTTATTATCGTACATAATCGTACATTTAGCTCCACTAAATCTTATACAATTTCTTTTAAATGCCGTACAAACATTCGAACCAATATACTGCACAACCGAAACTTAATGCTTTAATTATAAAACAGGTATTTTGGATTGTCGTGTATATTCTTAACTCTATCTCTGTATTTCAAGAGCCTGTAAATTAAAAATTTGTCACGGTTTCTCACTTAATCTCTATTCTTAAGATAGCGATATACGTAATATCATTTACTCATTCTCTAAAGGCGATATATTGGAAGCAACTTTATTCGAATCCTTTGTACATTATATGCCATTTATTTGTTATACAACGAGCTTATAGTATAATATTACTTGTAAAAGTCCGCTTACACATAACTTCATAAAAAAATTTTACTTCGATTGCGTACCAACTTGAGTGATAGACTCTTAGATTAAATCCATTTCTTTTATGTAAACAGGAGTATACAAATGTTCCAAAATCAACCGTGGTGAACAGTTATATTGCCTGTATTGCTTTCTTTGTAAATATGTTTAGTATGTTACTGAATTGTACTTCAATTCCATTTTGATTTAGTTCCTTTTTTGTTTTACATAGGAACGTATAGTAAAACTTTAATTCTTAATAACATAGACCGACAATTTCCTTCTAATTGGAACTTTTATTAGTTTTGTATTCTGACATGACAAGCATAATATATCAACAAAGAGAACGCAAACATTTTACATTTCTAGTATTCATTAAAAAAATCAGTTGTGAAGACGGTGGTGCTGCCAGAGTTTCATTCTCTCTTCGATAATTTTATTTAATAACAGATATTGAGATAAGTTTGTCAAACAGAGAATTTAAGATATTAAATAAGCGTTTGTCACTGGTTCCAATATAGACGCCTTTTATAAATACCATATTACACATTCTTTTAATTATTTATTGCATTAAATGTACTTATAATAATAATGTATTCTGCTTAGAAAATACCTCAATCAAGATTTTTTGTAAACGTTTTGTTAAAAATAATCTTTTATAGTTAAGAAGAGAGCTATTAAAGAATATTAAAGTCACTTAAAGTTCTATGCTAAGTTTTAAGTGATTTTTTAATCAGAAGTTCGTTTTTTTACAATATAGTATGAACGTTCGAAGAGGTTCGAAGATAACGAGCACTAAGGGCTTGATAGACACGTGCGTGATGTTTTTATTGCATTAAATTGATTTAGCATATTATAATCGCCGTTTTGTATAGCACATTACTTATTTTTATAACTGTCACATAATACTCCACATTGTGTTCCTGTGGCTTAACCATAGTCAAAATAATTAAAATAATTAATAATACGACTGCAGATAAGCTGATTAAAATACAATCGATTATAATGTAAGTTTATAATAAAAAAGGCCCCTATGGAGGTTTTTATAATAGTGAACATTTTAAAAAGATGCAAAGGTAAATTTGTAAAAAATAACATTAAACTCGACGGATAATATGTTTATTCGTTAAATTGACTATCGTAAGTAGTACTCGATTTGTATAAAAATTAAATTAAAGCAATCAGATTTATACTAATTCCGTTGTTTTTCTTGTAATTCCTTGACCTCTATTGTAACACCCGTAAACTTCTAATGTTATTGTTCTGTTCAGTCATTATGTATAAATCCACTGCTTTACACGGCCGCTTCCATAGGACAGATGATTTGTCCCAATCCTATTTTTTTATAGGATAG